AAGACAGACTGTATTAATTTATTGAAACGTTTAATCGTGTTGATAATTATGTTAAGTGAATAATTGAAAAAATCATTATATAAAACTTATTTTAAAAAAATACAAAAAACTTATGCAGTTTCTAATAATGTTTGTGAAAAAAGTAAAAACACGTTAAAGTTTTAAAAAAACATTTTTACATTGTTTCAATTTAAAATGCCCATAACACAATTTTTACCAACACAATTAATAAAATTAAAAATTATTATTATTATTATCAAAGCAATAACACCACAAAAACTTAAATGCTCATCCAAGATGCAACAAATATAACATGATTATTGTCAATTTGTCACACGTTTCGTTACAATCGATTAAAAGTTCTTATTGTTGAAATAGTTGATAAATATAACAATAACAAACACTATACATTTATAATTTTTTACAAATAATACACTTATTAATTAATTATTGAAGTACTTTAAATAATTTTATATTTTATATTATATTATTTTTTATCAGTATAACTATTATATTGTTTTATTTAAATGACCAGAACGAACAAAACAAATTGGTTAGTTCATAATTGCCTTTTTAATGTTTTTTTTAACAAAAAAAACAAAAAATAACACACTTTTGGTTTTTATTGATTATGTTCGAAAAAAATTGTCCCAAAACTTAATACCTATTAATAAAGCACATATACATTAATTAATTATATTATTATTAATAGGTTTATATATTTGTAACTAAATTTTGAGTTTTTTAACTTCAGAAACAAGAACCAACTTGTCTTGATTACTATATTGTTTGGTCGAATGTCTAAAAAAACAACATAAAAGTGTTAATCATATTGAACTAAACCACAAATGGACATCATTTCCATTCTTTGCATCATCATTTTAATATGCATTTTACTTGTTTTTGTCAGGCTCTTCGCTGCTGGCGGTGTTAACCATTCACATCGTGACTTAACACACAAAGTGATAGTAGTTACTGGAGGTACACATGGAATGGGTAGAGTCTTAGTTGAAGAGTTGTCCTCCAGTGGTGCACAGATAATCTCTATGTCTCGCAACGACTCTTTATCTAATGCTGTCCTACAAGAGATAAAATCAATTCACAAAGATGCAAATCTGTCGCACATCCATCTTGACTTAAACGACTTGGCGTCAGTCAAAAGTGCTGCCATTGAACTTTCAAATAAAGTGGACCACATCGACTTTTTGGTGAATAATGCAGGTATCATGTATGCGCCATTTGGGAAGACTAAACAAGGCTATGAGACACAAATGGGTGTAAATTATTTGGGGCACTTTTTGTTGACAAATTTGGTTCTTCCAATGATCGAAAAGTGCAACGGCCGCGTCATTAATTATTCTTCGATAATGTCACTGTTTTACAAACAGACGGACTTTCCATTTACAATTGATGAAAAGGAATTTTCTTCAATGAAGTGCTACTGTGAGTCAAAGCTTGCTATGGCTATGTTCGCAAAACAACTTTCAATTAAAAATAATAAAATCACAACCGCTTCGTTACACCCAGGAGGAGTCAATACTTCTTTGTTCCAGTTCTACCCAAAAATATTGGTGATTATTGCTCATCCATTGCTCAGAATTGTTTTTAAGTCACCACTTGAAGGTGTTCAAACAGCTCTCCACTTAATTCACGAAGAAAATGTGACTAATGGAGCGTACTATGCAGACTGCAAAGTTTCAAAACGACGCAACAAATTTTTGGACGATGAAAAGTTACTTGAAAAATTGTGGGAAGAATCTATTACGGCAGTTAAAGACTTTTTAAATTAAAAAATTGCCTTATAATATTTTTTGTATTTCAAAGTATTTTTATATGTTGGTGATGTTTTAAAATGTATTTAAAATTGAAAAATGTATAAAACCTATTTATATTTTCGCACATTTTGTAATATAATTGTTTATTTCATACTTTCATATTTTAAAAAATTTTGCTTTTCAAATTGTGTGTCTTTGAAATTCATCAAATTCCCAGAAAGCTTTTAAAAAGTCCAAGAAGACTGTTTTAAAAAATTGAAATGCACTCACTTCAATAGATTTTGGAAAACAAATTTGCGAGCTTTTTTGGGTAAAATAGTGTTTACCATGTGTAAATTTATAAATCTGAATATATGAAAACATGTGATAAAAAATAAAATAAAAATGTTTTCCAAATTGTAAAAAAGAGTAAAGGGAATATCAACGCCAATTAAACAAGTTTTTCAGATATTTTGTTTTCTCATTATGTGAATTTGTCAAGTGTCTGTCTTCCTCAAAATCTTCAAAACATTGGGAAATTGTATTTTTATGAATATAATAATTTGAAGCATATGGACTTACCAGAAAGTGTGACACAAGTAGAAAATTTTGTATTTGAATTGTGCAAAACTATGAAAAATGTTTTTACCAACAAATATCAATAAAATAAATAAAAAGTCTTTTTAAGTTTCAATAAATTGAGTCATGTTATTTTGAATGAAAGGATTGAAGAACTTGGAAAATAGTGTTTAAATCGATGTAAGTCACCGATTGAAATAACAATACCAAAAACGTTGATATTAATTTAAAAAAGTTGTAGATTACACTGCAACAAACGTGTGAAAATTGAGTTGAGCAGCAACGTTTTTGCTTATGTAAAAGGATACTTTTATCATTTGGATGTTAGCAAAATGAAATGTGATAGAGACACTATTATTTTGATAAAGAAAGAGTAATAATTTATGTCAAAATTATTATATTTTTAATTAAAATAATTAAATGTAATTAGTATAATCATTTTAATGTACAATATAAGGAAATAAAGGAATGTTAGAGAAATGACGACGCTTATAACTTTTGGTTATTTTTAATACAAAAAATAATATTAATAATTATTTAAATAATTAAAAATGAAAAACACAAAATTAAATTCATATTTAGATTAGCATCTGGCTCTTTTATGACTGTATAAGAAATTTAATTATTAAATTAAAAAATAATTAATTAATTATTTTTATGTTGAAAAGTGATTACAATAAATTATTTGGTGGACAAAAAAATAATTGTATTTATTTGAAAAAATTTTTATTTACACAATTGTATATCAATTTAAAATGTAATTTTTTGGTATTTACACACATAATTACCAATATGACAGAACATTGAATGATAAATCAATAATTAACAATCATGTTCAAATGTAATTGTTGATGTGAACATAGACCTAAAATAATAATTGTTTTTGACATATTTTTGATAATTGAATATAACTTTTATATTTATAATAAATGTGACCATTTTAATTGTATTACTACATTAAAAACGATTATTTTCCAATAACTCATTGTGATAATAACATGTTAATAATTTTATTGAATATATTTTTTATTAATTTATTCTGTCTTACTTCATATATATATAGCACATTATTAAAAATGACATTAAGGCGACCTTCGAGATTGTCACGACCCAAGTAATCTTAAGATCTTTTGGGTCGAATTAATTATTTTTTTGTAAATCGGCATTTTACTTTCCTTTTTATCAAATAACAAAATAATATTTTTTAAAACTTCACAATTTTTTTTCTGAATTTACACATTGTTGAATTGATTATATATAATCACTATTAATTTTGACGGATCGTGTTATCAATTTTCATAACAAATTTATCAACACAATTAAACGTTCAAATAAACAAAAAAAAAACAAAAATACAACAGTGTTGATACTATAATAATTCTCAAATCAAATTTCCACTTAAATTATAGTTGTTTATTACATTGAATTGATTGACTGTAAATAATAACTTTTGTGTAATGACTATGATATACATTAAAACAAAAATAAACGATTATCATCAATTTCATTGTGTAACTACGTCAATGTGCACAATTTTCGTTCAACAATTTTTTGTTGATAATAACATATAAGAGAGTTGTTATATACTATAATTCTTTTCTAACTATCGTTTTCTTGTTATTCATATAAAAACATAATTAAACGTATATGCCTTTGTAACACCACAACATTTATTATGATATAAAATAGAAACGTTAATTGATTATCAATTTCAATGAAGTTATAACAACAAATTGTGTATTAGTTTTAACTGTTAATCACAACATTATCATTTTTATAAAATGTAAAAAATAAAACGTGATAAATTTTTAGTGTGTAAACGTGAATATCAAACCTGAACTTAAAATCATTACACTGAAAATACTAGAATTGCACAGTTTGCAAAATTTTTGTTTTTAATTTGTTGCTCTCTCACATATATACATAAGATATAAAAAATAAATATTTTATCATCAAAGAGTAAAAGCAGAAGAAAAATAATTATATAATTTTTTATAGTTCTTTGTTGTGGTACATTAAGTTAGTAGTTTAAACGAAATGAATACACTTTCATAATTATTTTAAAAATTAATTCCATACATATTTATCTATAATAACAGTTATTTCTTTAGATCAAACATAAAAGTGAATTAAAACAAAAATGTTTGTCTTTCTGGATTTATAATTCGATGCACATATAATCTAATTAATACACAAACATTTAATAACAAATCAATAGCTTTCAAAATGAATTGTATTAATATAGTAAAACATTTTTAATTAAATTTATAAAATATATTTAATCGTATCTAAGTGACAACACCAATGTAATTGAAAAAACAAATTGGTTTATTATCATCATTTTTAATTTGTTCATATGTATATTTGATTATTTATCAAAATAAACTTCACTTGGTTGTCAGTTATATTAACCAGTAAATATATATTTTATTTATTCATAACATGAACACAAGGGTGAGAACCACAAGTCGGTAAAATATTTATTTACATTCTTTTCATATTATAATTATTTTTATTGTTTAGTTTGAAATTAAATGTTTACACACTCAAAAAGTTTACATATTTAATAATTTTATCATTTTTACAATGAGCGTTTAGAGTATAAAATTGAATCATTTTATATTAATTATCAAAATACAATCATTAAAAGAAACTGTATAATCATGTTATTATTTCACAATTAAATAACATTTGTAATGTCATTTTTAAATTGGTGTTATTTATGTGTGTAATCAGACATAATAAATAAAAAACATAATATAAATTCAATAAAATTATTAACATGTTATTATCACAATGAGTTATTGGAAAATAATCGTTTTTAATGTGGTTACACAATTAAAATAGTCACACCCGTTCTAAATATAAAAGATTTATTCATAAATCAAAAATATGTCAAAAACAATTATTATCTTTGGTTTATGTTCACATCAAAAATTACATTTAAACATGATTGTTAATTATTGATTTATCATTCCATGTCATGTCATATTGGTAACTGAATGTGTGAATATCAAAAAACTACATTTTAACATTAAATACAATTGTTTAAATATAAATATTTTTAAAGAAATACAATTATTTTTTTTGTTTACCAAATACTTTTTTGTAATCACTTTTTTTAACTTAAAAAATAATTGATTAATTATTTTTTTATATTTATAATTATCTGACAAGCATTTCAAGCTTTTTGTTACCAGTTCTTAATTATTTTACGTATGTTTTTGACTTTAAATAATTATTGTCAGCCCAAGCATTTTGATGGATCTTCAAGGTCGCCTTTACTTATTATTGAATAGTGAAATTATAAAATTATTATACAATTACTTTTTAATGATTTTATTTCGATAATTAATAGAGAACCATGAAAAATCACTGCGGCGTGAAATATTACTGCGAATCGTTATTGGGCAAAAAATAATGTTATTGTTGCTTATAAAACATAAAAAACAATTTACTTTGTAAAAATGTTATACAATATGGCTTTTAATAAAAACAAGCAGGGTTCATCAAATTTGGATAAAGGGCGAGTTATGAAACACGTTTTTTTATTGAAACTTAAAAACAATAACATTTTCGATATTGGTTTTTATTAATAATGTTATATTAGTATTTATCAAACTTTTTAATAAAATTAAAACTAAAATAATAATATAAAAAACCATAGTTACATATTCTCATGTGTATTTTCAATAATATATTTGTCAACTTCATTTTTGTGTTTATCAATAAGAACTTTCAACTCGGTAATTTTTGTATCTAAATATTTAATTCAATTTTTAAATGTTATAATACCATTTTTATAATATTTTTCTGGAAAGTTATAATATTCCAAGTGTTTGTTAAAATCTTGGTATTTGTCCAACTCAACTTTTACTGAAAATAAATTGCAAGGATCAGCCTTAAATTTAACACACGTTGAATTTGCAGAATCTGATGTTAAGCTCATTGACAAATTTAATAAGTATAGTTCGACAAAATGTAACAAAGGTGTCTGGAGCTTTGAATGACAAGAATCTATTAACTGACTCGAAAGACGAAAAAATTCCATTCTTTATGTCTGTTATTCTTTCGTTGAGATTTGTAATCAAATTAATAACACGAATATATTCTTCGTTAATTAACCCAAATTTTTGCTGCATTTTGTCACAACAATTTTTGAAATTTTAAGAATATCATAAAAAAAGCCCAAAAATCTTAAAAACAGAGGGTCTTTTACATCGAAAAAGTATATTTTTCTTCCTAAAAATTCATAGTAATTTACATCTTCAATAAGATTTTTGTTGTTACCAATTAATTGACTTGTTTTGTACTGTTCGATTAGTATATTATTAATCTTTTTGTCAATTCCCAGTTCTTTAAAAAAATACATCAAAGTCTCTAAAATTGTTTATCAACTTTTCCACTATCAATTCATGGTAAAACCAACGAGTATTACTCAATGTTGGTATATGTAA